CTGGATTGAAGCTTGAATGAGACTCGGGAAGGGAGGGCAAAAATAACCAGGATGCGCTGGGTTTACTGGGATAGAGTTAATTTTCTTCACAGTAGCTGGTATGGGGCTATGTTTTGGGTTTGGGCTGAAAACAGTGTTGATAACACAGGGATGTTTTTGTTACTGCTGAGCAGTGCTTACACAGAGCCAAGGCCTTCTCCGCTCCTCGTGCCACCCCACCAGGGCGCAGGCTGGGGGTGCCCAGGGCGTTGGGAGGGGACACAGCTGGGACAGCTGACCCCAGCTGACCAAAGGGGTATCCCATACCATATGATGTCATGCCCAACACGTAAAGAAGGGGGGAGAAGAAGGAAGAGGGGGATGTTCGGAGTGATGGCGTTTGACTTCCCGAGTAGCTGTGACGGGTGATGGAGCCCTGCTCCCTGGAGATGGCTGCACACCGGCCTGACGACGGGAGGTGGTGAACAAATGCCTTGTTTTGCTTTGCTTATTAAATTGTCTTTATCTCAATCCGAGAGTTTTCTCACTTTTACTCTTCCAATTCTCCCTCCCATCCCACCCCGGGGGGGTGAGTGAGTGGCTGCGTGGGGCTGAGGTTAAACCATGACACAGGAGCAGGTTGAGATTTTTATGTAATTCCAGTGCAAACTTCAGGAATGATTTTGTTTTTCTGATCTTGTAGTCCCAAAGTCCCAGATCTTTGCCCTGATATGTGCTTTTAAAGCAAGCGACAGCACTCACCCCAAATAGCTTGCAGGGCAAGTAAAGGATGGAAGAAAAGAAGGGGGTTTATAAGTGGAAACCGACACCTGATGTGCTCAAGATTAAACTTTTCATTCCACAACTAATCACCGGTAAGTCTAGGAATTAACTCAGGCCTTTTTAATCCCTGCAGCCAGTCCTGTATTCAGCAGACTAATGTTGCTTTCCTGAGGCTAGAAAGAGCCCAGGCATTTACAGCTGAAATCCTCTATGTGTCCACAGCACAGGTAGAGCATAGGTGGACGTACATCAGAAGAAGGATTACTGATGTTCATTTTCTGTGGCGTGAGGGCCAAGGGAATAAGGTCCCAAATGATTAAGACCTCAGACCTCTTCAAAGCAGAAATGAAATATAAATGAAGCAAGGAATTTCCAGTGCCCTGTGCAGCGACGGAAACACAAGGTGACCAAGAGACGGAAGCGGCTGATAGAAAGTCTAGAGCCGTGGAACACGTGCCAACTTCTGCTATCTTGTTCTGTGCCCTTGAGCAAAGTCATATCTAAGAGGTAAACGGAAACAACCAGGCCAAACCAGTACTGTGCTTGTTACATACCTGTAATAATGGTTTGTTGAATGGTTTTCAGCTGGGAGGAGCTGAATCAGGCCCCTTGATGTAAACCAAGTTTGGTATCGATGCATCCACCCTGGATTACATCAGGCAATATCTTGTTCTGCGAGGGTGAAGTCTCATTGAAAGCACACCCAGAGCTCTGCTAGGTGTCACTCTCCAAACACGTTTTGTGTCTGCAGCTGGGTTTGCAGAGTTCTCACGCGCTTTGCTTCTCTTCTCTCCTGACAACAGCCGTGGGTGGGACAGTTCACTCAGGCTCCCCCTGCTTTCCAGCACAATGTTTTTTGCATTTTTATTTGCATTAGATTATCGGAGCAGGAGTCTAAACACTTAAGTTACTGCAAATCCCTCCTCATATGGAAGTCAGTGAGCTGTAAAACATTTAAACTGTCTACAGTTGTGTCTCGTTTGTTTACACATTTCCAGTGGGCTGCTAAAAGGTAGCACACTGTAATGGAAGAAAGATCCAAGATTGCTGATTCTGATTTCATAACAGCTTTAAAAGAGCTCTGAATACCTGCATTAACTTGATGGAGTAATATATATCTCAACTTTCTGGATCCTTAGGGCCCAAGTGGAGCAGGAAAGCTACGTGCTTTTCTCCAGATTCTTTGCTTTGCGCTGTCATCACTCTGATCACAGGGGAAAATGAGGTTAGGTGGATCCTGCTGTTGTTACTGCCAGAGCCCTCCACAAATCGTCCTCCACTCCCCTGCCCACGTCTTCTGCAGTTGGGTCTTTCAGCCCGTTTTATTTTTCCACTTGCCCTGCAGAAGCAGCGCTCCAGGGCTCGGTGGACAACTGACCACCGAGTGAGATGTGCCTGTCTTGGGAGCACTTGTAAACGCCTTGCAGAAAAGGAAGAGTGTGGTGATTCTTCAAAGGGCGGCGGAGGAGGTGACAGGTGACTAATCAGTCCCAAGGCAGCAGAGGGCATCAATGAGTTTGGAGATTCACCTCCGGAGCTGAATGAAAATAGCCAGACACTGCACTGAGTAATTAACAGGACAGATTTCAGCTCTTTTCCTACTTTCACCTTAGTCTTGAACAAATTCAAGAAGTTCTCAGGGTTTTTTTCAAATAATTTTTGAACAATATATAAATCATAGTGCTAATTAGTTTCACGGATTATGATGTCATTTCGATTGCCTGACTGGATGCAGTGCGTATATTTGCAGGTGTGGATAAAGATGATCTCCGTAAACGCACAATTTTTGAGTTGTTTATTTGAATGCAAAATTCATTGCTGAAAATTCACACTTTTGTTATGAATTTCACAGTTCATTTTGGAAGTCCAGTCAGTTAGCCACGATATTTGTGCTAGTTAAGCTTATTTGCTGGGATTATTTGTAACAATTGAGCCTGGCAAGGCAGATTTGCTTAGTAATTTAAGCAAATGTTCGCAGGATTATTTTGTCACTTTCCCTCGCTCTCGGTGCTGAGGTAGAGGAACAACGCTTTATCCTGATATATCCAGCTTTTCCCGAAAGAGAATCTGTGTCAGCTAGGGACCAATGCCTCCACCTTCTCTTAGATGCCTGACATCAAAACATCTGTTCAGAAGTCACAGAACGGTGAGAGTCCTCTAAGAATAAACCCAAACTACATCCCCTTCACCTCGTGCTCCCTGATTAATTTTCTAATTTTAATTGACATTATATTATCTAAACGCAGTCTCACATAGTCCTTCTGCTAGAACATTAGTGAAATCCCACAGATGGACAAACAGAGGCAATGTTTCACGTGACGTGACATAGCAAATCACATGGCAAGGCCACTAACAGCACGGAGATATTCTGGGTCCAAGAGCTCTGCTTTAACAGGCGGGACAACTTATTTTCATTTCGTGAGCAAAAGCAAATTTAGAGGTTCAGGCCCCTCTGAGCTCCTCCAGGGCTGCTACAGGAGATCTCCAGGGCTATGGTGAAGGGTCAGCAACACCCCTGAGCCCTCTATTTCTCCATCAGAGGTCTCTTTCCACTCTTTGGAAGTTTACGGTGAATGGCGAGGAGCCAGCCCCCACGGGCATGGGATGGAGGTGGCTTGTTCTCAAGTGTTTAAAAGTCTGACAAACTGTTTGCAGTTCTAGCAGGGATCAACACATTTCTAGAATTAAAACCAACATCTTGGACAGCAAAAATGCTCTGAACAAGGAGTCTTTCTTCAACTCAATACACAAGGGACCTTTCTTTAGTATGCTATAAAATCACTTGCTATAAATCAATTATTTTTGTACTGATTTATTAACTGCTCTCCAGCTGTTCAGTTTGGCACCTAAAAAAAACTCCTGGATGGTCCCGCTGAAATTTTCAAAAGCATTTGCTCTGCAGTACTGTTGGTCCAACCTCGTTATAGTCTTCCCTGGTAACCCCCATATTCCTTAAGCTGGCAAGGGTGGAAGCACCAGTCCACACAGAGCACATCCAATCTTGTGGCAAAACAATCTTGACGTGAGTTGTGTTGGGAATCCCTGTCTGGAACTCCTTTGGAAGCCTCTCCTCGAAACCTTGGAAAAAGAGTTGATCTGCCCCATGACAGCACGTTCCTTAGGATGCGGGACTGGATATGCTCACAACACTCTGTGATGTTCTGGAGGACCATCCTCCCCTGTCCCTGGGATTTCTGCCTCTGTGGGCACAAAAAGCACTTCAGGAGCTCGGAATAGCTGGTCTGCTGCCTTCACAGTCCTTCCATCAGGGAGAATGTACTTGCACACAAGTTTTTCGGGCTTTTCCGCATATTTTGTCAAAGACGAAACGCCCCTTTTGGACTTGGCAGTCCTTATGACTCACCCCAAACATGACAGGTTTGAATTTGGGGTATCCTACAACAGTAGAAACAACCAGAATGGGTGCCTGTTCCCTTGACAGACCAACCTTACGCTGTTCAGAGCTGATGTCAAAAAATCGCTGTGCACCCACCGTGCGGTGTCAGACACCCTGTGCAGGACGGGTGCTGTCCCTGGCAGTGGCTGCTGGCGCAGAGCATCGTCAGAACCTTCTCCTTTCCCACCCCTGTCACAAACAGGCCCCACTCCACCGAGCTCTGCAGCTGCACCAGCAGCGCTGCTTCCCCCAGGGAGCCGGCAGTGTGGAGCATTTTGATTCAGGCCTAGTGCTTGGAAGTGAATCTGGGTGTTCTTACTTCCCAGATAAATTACAGCAGAGAATCAATGGATTTTTTCAGACCCTCAGGCACAGAGGAGGGTCGGTTACAGTAATTGCATTTGCATTGATTTATATTTGGATTCTGTTTGGGGTTTTGCTGGGTTTCTAAAGGAAACATATTTAATGAGGTCAAAAATATCGTGAGAGCTAGTTTTAGAATACAAAACCCAGACACCTCAAAGACCTTAGGGGGACGAATCTCCCAGCAGAGGAGGTATGCTACTCCCCACCTGACTCCAAGGCAGGCCGTGAGTCAGTTAAGGAGTGACTGCATCCCTGTGATATGTACGTGCACACCTGTAAACACTGCGAAAGGGAAGGGGAATGATAAACAATATGATCCTCGTTACCAACGGTTTTACTGTTTTATTTTCATACAGGTTTTGTCAGCCAATAAACGCACAAACAGCTGTAGCACCTTTTAGGTCAGTCAGCTCTCAGCAGGGTTTCTTTCTCTTGAGTTGTCGTAGCGAGCCGTTCACTTGGTCTGGCATTCTCCTTAAAAGCTTTTCTGGTGAATGACAGCTGCCCCAAAATCCTTGTAATTGCTCACAGTGACCCACATTTGTTTGAAAGGCAGGTGAGGATGGAGGCCCCAATCCACACACAGTATTTTGTCTCGGGGGGGGGGTGCAATGATCCTTACAAACATGCCAGCAGGCACTTGGAGCTTCAACTCCTTCAGGATCTGCTCCTCCAGGCCAGGAAAGAGAGTGGACCCACCTGAGAATAGGATGCTGCCGTAAAGATTCCTGCACACATCGATGCCACACTTCATAATGCTGTTGAAGACAGTTTTCTGCACACCAGGAGCTTCAACTCCAATGCTTGCAGGTGTGAAAAGGGTCTTGGTGCCCCAAAGAGCCAGTTGCCTCTGTGGATGATATCATTGTCAGGCAATTTGTATTCTTTCACGATTTCTTTGTCTTTGCTTTCATTTCTTGGATGGGGTCTAAAGCTGCGCAGCACAACTTCTTTCTGATATCTCTCACAATTTCCTTTTCAGCTGTGCTAACAAAAGTGTACCCACGCTCTAAAAGGAGCTTCATAAAATATTTGGTGATATCCTGGCCAGGAATATCCAGCCTGGAGACAACATGGGCTGAACAGTACCCTTCAGACATGGGGACAGTGCAGGCAGCGCCATCCCCGCTCTCCATGACTGTTCCAGTGACATAGGCCGATGCACAGGATGCCGGAGTTGCCTGGGCTGCAAAGTGCACAGGCGGCACCATGAAGCCTTCGACATAAAATATTTGGTGATATCCTGGCCAGGAATATCCAGCCTGGAGACAACATGGGCTGAACAGTACCCTTCAGACATGGGGACAGTGCAGGCAGCGCCATCCCCGCTCTCCATGACTGTTCCAGTGACATAGGCCGATGCACAGGATGCCGGAGTTGCCTGGGCTGCAAAGTGCACAGGCGGCACCATGAAGCCTTCGAACATGATCTCTCTCATTTTTTTTCCTGGT